TCCATGGATTCTATTATTGTAGTATCTTGGTTTGTTTGGGGCACTTTCCTCCCTTGGTTTTTCATATTTTCTATATGTCTTCCTTTCTCGCAGTACAGATCTGAGGTAATACAGTTTCTAACCTATAATTTTATAGTGTCCCTGCAAATTACCTGTATCTCACCTTGTGTTTGGCTTCTAGACCCTGGTCAATGACCCAGGATAAATGCTACTGCAAGTAAAGGTGGTGGTGGCAATAGTAAAGGTAACTCAAGATATCAGTGGCGGTGTCCCAAGATGGATGCAACCCCTTTCAGAGATGGGGCTGAAAGGCTGGGCTGCCGGTTCCGAGATGCAGCTCCCTCCACGCTGTATCTGTTGTCCCAAGGTGGAGGTTACTGCATGGGGAGGGCTATAGTGATGGCTACAGTGTCCCAAGATTGAGGTGAGTTAGGCCTGAGCTCCAGCATGTGACAGCTGGTTGGCGGAGTTGGTCCTGGGCCTAACCTTGGCCTTGCCTCCTGCATGGGTCAGCGGGATGGTCCTTAGCTGGGGCCTGGGCCTTGAACTTATTTACATTTCTTAAACATAACATGTACATAGTGTGCTGAAAATTCAATATTATTTGGGGTGAGTTTTTATATTTATTTACAACATCTATTTGAATTTAATTGATAACACATTCAAGTGAATTAATAAAAATCATTAAAACACACATTTCCTCCTTCCATCCCTCCTATCCATAGGCCTACTTTTCAATGTCAGCAGCTTCTGTTTGGGTGGAATTATAACTGAAGAAATGATTTTTAAATAACAAATTTTCCTGATTACTCAAGTTTTCAGGAAATAAATTAAAAGCTCTCAAAACTCTGGAAATGTTAAGATGTCTAAGTGCTTTAAAACATTTTGAAAATATGTTTTAAAGTAATTTTACAGATTCTGAACATTTTAAGATACACAATCAATTCTATGGGTTAATGTTTGATGTATAAGCAGAAATACTCATCAGAATATGTATTCATAGCTGATCCTTTCACACCCTAACAATGTTTATTTTCCTGCTTTCATACATTTAATTCAACTATAAGCCATGACAATAAAGAGCATAATGGTATAAATACATAAAATTGTTATATAAACATTGTAGTTTTAATAAAACTTTTTGCTGACATTAAAATTCTGAAACCGAGGATTATCTGTATTCTGCGTATGAAATTTTCTAATAAAATTTGCATGAAGGATTATTGGAGAGATAATTGAGTTAATATTTAAAGCACCTTTTTAAAAGTACCTTCCTTAGCTAGAAATCATAATAGCAGAGAGAGAGAGTCAAAATTAAAAGATGAAATTACACAGCAAGTGATAACTAGAGCTTTTATCAAGGAAATGGGAAGAAAAGCAACCCATTCCTATTTAGCTGTTTTTAAAACACTTCATTTTAATGTAGAAACACTAGAAGTCTAGAGAGTTAAACCTTATGTCTAAGTAGTCATTTGTAATTTATGGGAAAGCTGTCACCTAACCTATTTCTCTGTGCCCCCAAAGAATTCATTAATATAATACATTTCCCTGTGTTTTATTTTTTGCTTCATGCAAATTAGTTTCAAGGAGACAGAGACTGACTATAAATTTCTACCAGCATAGAGTTTTACTAGCATATTACTGTCATTGTTTCTGTTTTGTTTCTCTGTGGTCCTCAAAACTATGCTGTGCAAAAAATACTCAATTGACACACACTTAAGTATTTCTAGAATAACGTCTCTAATAAAATACATACAAATTTATTTTTTCTTGGCGACTTTTACATAATTTTGACATTTCTCTTTTATAAATTCATCTCTACACCCCCCAAAATACGGCTGGTCATTCTTGTTTTTCATTTTGAGTGTACTCTATCTTCTACATAGCTGCAGAAATTACTATATGATAAAATATTACCTGTAACCTCAAATTATTGTATTTTGTCTTTGTGCTGATACATATTGTTAATTTATACAATAGAAATTCTAATGTGTCATTCAAATTTGTAAACTTTAAATATACATTTTATTAATTTCCAAAAGTAGCTAAAACATATCCACAGGAATAATTTTCAAGACTCTATTGACTTCCGAGTAGAATGAATTTCAGACACTAAAGATATTATTTTAACACTTGAATATATGGCATATCATTAATTAGTCATTTTTTAAAGTAAGATTAAAGGTTTATCCATACTTGCTGTCATAGACTGAAACATCTGTATGTTCTGTTCACAACAGGTGTTCAATAAATGTTTTGGGTGACTGTCAGTGGTGACTCTTAATGACTTCATAATGAAGTAATTATTCAAGTGTCATGTTAAAGCCCTATTTCATAGAAACTACATATTGACAATTTTCACAGACATACACTATTATGTACACTTCAGTAAAAAGAAATTCCACCTTAAAATGTAAGTCTTGAGCTTGAATAAAATTTACTGATTTGAAAAGTCTCCCAATACTACTATAACAATGAACATAATTAAGTATGCATACCCACAACACAATAAAGTCTTATCAAAAGTGTTCAAGTAAAGGATGACAAGGAAATGAATGATTAGTTTTCAAAGTAGTGGCATCTGTTCTGTGAATAATCCAAGGAATGCTTTCCAATTTCCATGCATCAATTCTTTATTCAAAAGAGGGAATTTCTCAAAAGAGACATATGGGACCAAACAAAATGTAGACTATTGTCAAATCAGAATTTCAAGATTCATCTATTATTTACACCCTGCTTATTTAAAAAATGACTTGAAGCATATCAAATGGATATGCACTCAAAAATCTTCTTCAATATTTTTTTTGTTAAAAGTCATTTATTTTCTTTTCATATTTCTTTTTGTTCAGGTAAAAGACTATGACTTCAATAGCCAAAAAGATAACAGATGTATCTATTTGCTTTAGAAGAAAGAACCCTAATATTCATGAATATGTTTTGAATTGTTAAAAAGTTGTATTTTCCAGCATTGGTGAAATATTAAAATAACTTTAACACATAAAATAAATATAAATTCAGTGACTTAACTGTGTATTATCAGATGTCAGTGGCATATTTAAAGATGTGTTAATAATAGTTTATTGATTTTAAAACACAAAGAGTGTCAACATAAAATAAACAGATATTGATATACTTTCCAAACTTTGTTGAATAATAATGTAATAGCTATAATTGGATCTTTTAAAAAATATTTTTAGTTATGGATGGACATAATGCCTTTATTTTATTCATTTATTTTTATGTGGTGCTGAGGATTGAACCCAGTGACACATAAGTTATAGGCAAGTGCTCTGCCACTGAGCTACAACCCCAGCCCTATAAGGATATTTGAAAAGAATTATTTTCAAAATAGACCTTTCAATCTAATTTAATACTTACTTAAGAACAACCATCTGTAACATCACAGGATTTTAAAATTAAATGAATTTATACATCTAGTACTTTCTCATTTACATATAAGCAAATTAAGTTATACAGAGGTTCCAGTTTAATGAATGCTAACAGTTTATTATTGGGAGAATAGTGACTAAAATGTGGTTTTTCTGACTTGCCAGATAACGCTTCTCCGTCACTGAAAATGTTTTCCAAATCTTGTGGTTTGTGGGCATGTGTACAAGGGGGAAACAAAAACATGTATGCACAATAAATGCAACATAATATGTAAAAAAAAATAAAAATAAAGTTAAAGATCATTTAAAGAAGCACTAAAAGAAATTAAAATTTATGTTTTGAGATTCTACTCACAGTTTTACTTCAGAAGAAAAGGAGAGATGTGGAAATTTGCTTATTATTTTTCAAATTTTTTACTGTGATAAAATTATATAACATATGGACCCAAATAGGCAATTCAATCATTTTAAACGTATAATTCAGAGATATTAGTTACATTTGCAATGTTACATAATGATCATTACCATTATTTTTCATAAAAAGTTTTCATCATCCAGAACAGAAACCCTGTAACCATTATGCAATAGCTTTTTTCTCCTCCACCCATTTCCTTATAAGTTTAAATTTTAATTTCTGTTGCAGTGAATTTGACTATTTTTGGTTTTCTCTGTAGTTGAAATCATACAATATTTATCCTTTTGTGTTTGGTTTATTTCATATTTGGTTTATTTCAAAGTTTATCTCTGTTTTAGCATCTACCATAACTTCATTATTATGGCTGAATAAAATTCTCTTGTATATATTTATCACATTTTATGTATTCATTCAAATGTTAATGGACAGTTTTGTTGTTTCCATGTTTTGACTATTGCCTTGATTTATCTTCTGTGTTGAGATTACTAATAGGTCTTTTAGACTATTTATTTATTTTAGCATAGCATCAACTCTTAATTTAATTATTGATTAAGCATGTGAAAATAAAGCTATTTCAGGTATGATAATTATTGATGCAAAAATAAAAGCTAATATTGGAGATTTTAAATTCCCTTAATTTTTTTTTACTCTTCAGGATACACTTTTATTTTAAATCAAATGCCATGACATTTTGAAACATGGTCAGTTACAGAGAATAGATGTCTAGCTGAAAGTTATAATTTTCTATTTACAAAACTTTCTCTCCTTAAACATTTATTAAATTATTAATGATTTTCTGTATTTTCTATACTTTTTATACTGACTTAGTGAACACTTCTTGATATATAAATATAAAATGCTTAAGAGAATTATTTACACTAATTCTGGAAATGAAAGTGTCAGATTTAATCTACAGTGCATTGGAGAAACACTATCAAAAGGAGAATATAGAAAATTTAAGTTAAACTTTCTGTCTAAACTGTTTAATTATTTATAAATTATTCTAACTTTCTTCCACACAATTTCTATTTTATGGAAATCAAAAGAAAAACAATTCCAAAGCACCTAAATATCTCATCTTCTACTAATCTGTTACCTATACATGGTGGATTGTATTTATTTGTTTTTAATTTTCATATTATATGTGTTTGGAAATGTTTCATAATCAAAATGTTGAATTTTAACATTTGTTTCAGATGAATTCAAGTTATTCATGAAAAGGCTACCCATGAATTATTTCCTCAACACATCAACTATAATGCATTTGTGGACAATGGATTCTAATTTTCAGCGCCGCTATGAGCAACTGGAGAACAGCATGAAACAACTTTTCCTCAAGGCACAGAAAATTGTACACAAGCTCTTTAGCCTTAGCAAGAGGTGTCATAAACAACCCCTCATCAGCCTGCCGAGACAAAGGTAAGCCCTGGCAATGTAACAACTGAAGGTATTGTTTCCACAGATTTCTCTTTATTTTTGTGAATGTAGTTGTTATAATATCACAGTTATTTATTATCATTAGATAGAGATAATTTGAAAACAGCATATTCTCTTAAGTCCCCAAATAATAAATTGCAGTAATTTTCCAAAGAAATAGTAGAAGGGGAACACATATGCTAATTCTCCCCTGATTTTTTTTCCTTTTTCTATCATAATCAAGAAATCATTCTTATTCCATGAGGTAGTCAACTAACTGGAATAGAAAAACACAAAGCTCTAGAGTTAAATTGTAGCATACAGAGTAAGCAGGGGTACAAAATGAAATTCTTTATATAATTTTCAACTAAAATAATTCAAGGTTTAGTTTTTATGATCAGTATTTAAAAAACCATGAATATAATTCTACAGCAACTTCTAAAAATTACTGTGAATGTTGCTAACATTACATATGAATAATGACAGACTATTAAAATATTTATGTCTGATCTGATTTGAGAAAACACGTTTTAAATTTGTAACTTTAAGATCTACTGAAAAGTGAGTGTAATAAAAAGTTGTACCTTCTCTATTGGAGGTCTAGTTAAAAAATTCATGAATGACAAAAGCTACAGGAAAAACAAAGAAGATTATCAAAAAATGATACATTTGTATCAGTATCTTGCTTTATAACCCTAGAATTTTGATATGTTCAAATCATTGAAATTTATTTCAGTGAAAATAAAACAGATTAATATCCATTAAAAATTTTAATTTAAAAATAACTCATTTGAATTTTTTATTGTTTCTTTGGAATTTTAATATATTCAGAATTTGTGCAGTCATCTCCATAATCTAAGTGGAGTATATCTTCCTTATCCCCCACCCCCAAACTAAATATCAACTAGAAATTGCTGCTCATAATCCCCAATCTATTCCTAGGCTATAGATTTGCATAATTCGATATTTGTCTCAATAGATTTGCCTACTCTAAACATTTTATTTAATGGGATCATGCAATATGTGGTCCTTTGTAATTGGCTTCTTTCACTTGTCATACTGCTTGCAGGTACATCAATGCCATAACATCAGTAGTGTGCATGTCCCACTTGTTTACCCATTCATCATTTGATGGTCATTTAAGTTGCTCTTAAAAGTACTATGAATAATGTTTCTAATGTTTCTGTGAACGTTAGTGTACATTCTTTGTGGACATGTGTTTTCTATTCCCTTTGGTATATACTGAAGTGGGGGATTGCTGAGTCAGAAGGTAATCCATATTTAAAGATTTTTAGGAGCTGCCAAACTGTTTTACAAAATGGCTGCACCATTTTATATTTCTACCAATCATCTTCACTAACACTTATTATTTTCTGTCTTTTTGATTATAGTCATCCAAGTGGTTGTGAAGTGGCTTCTTGTGGGTTTGATTTACATTTGAGTTTTGACTAACAATGTTGAACATCTTTTCATGTGCTTATTGTACATTGAACAAATGTCTATTCTAAGCCTTCATCTACTTCTACATTGTTTATTACTGAGTCCATGAATATTCCATATATAGTTAATGCCAGTCTGTAAACAGTAGTTATGTGATATACAAATATTCCCTTCTATTCTCTTCCATTTTCCTGGTCAGATATGTGTCTTCCACCACCACCAGCACACATACACTGTCAATAAAAGACTTTTGCCAAATTTCTTGATATTTTCAAAGAACTTTTAATTTTTTTATATATTTTTGTCTCTTACTTGACTACTTTTTCATTCCAATCATTCATTCATTCTTTTTTTTTTAGTATGATTTTCTTTTTTCTGTTTTCTTAGAGTGAAAAGCTAGGTTATTAATTTGGAAAGATTTATCTTTTTTAATGCAGGTATTACAGCAATAAATTTTCCTCAAAGGACTGCTATAGTTTTGTCATTTTATGCATCTCATAAGTATTTTTTAATTTTCTTTATGAATAAGACATTTCAATATGTCTCTGTATGCCCTTGGGAACATTTTCTAATTAGGATTTGTAGCTAGAGGATGACACTGCTATTTGATTATTGTGAACTTAATGCTTTATGTGAGTTAAAAGTAGATTTAAAATTACTGAAATAGATAATTTTAACCCAAATAGGAAATGTAAGACAATTAAGTGGACTAGAAAATAAATTGATAAGTCTGGTTATAAACATGCTGACTTTATGGTTTTATTTAGCAAATTTAATTGAAACTGAATATATACATGTAAATATATATCTATCAATCTATGTAGCTATTTGAAACACAGGAAAGATTTGAAAAAGTGGGGTGACAATCCCAGTACACACAAATGAAGGAAATCTGAGTATAATACCATAGTAAATAGGTAGATGACATCTTCAGACATACATAAGGAGTGAATAGAGAAAGAAAGTGCAAAAAAAAAAAATAAGGAAAGAATATCATAGAAGTGACGTTAATTTTTAAATGGAAATACAAATATGCTGTAACTATGCAGGATTTTAAAGGAAAATATAGGAAACTGATACCAAATATAAGTTGGGTACATACAAAATAAATAAGTTGGATGAGATAAAGATGTATTATTTGGAGCAGAATTTAATAGAGTATAGAGAAATCTCTATTTTCCGAAACTTTTAAAGTAAATGTGAAGATAGCCACAGCCATTTCTTGACTTTCTTTTTTAAATATTTTGCAAAACTCCTATGTTGACTGTCACTCATCACACACACAAAACAATGTCAACTTCTTTCTGTATGTACAATTTTACTTAATTTGAGTATTTTTCTATCAGTTTCTTTTTTACTACCGATATGAGATTTTGTTTCTGTTTATTGTGGGTTTTTTTTTTCAATCTTAATAGAATAAAATGAAATGGCAAGAGGAATACAAAATATATGTACTAGGTTAGTGGAGTAAAGTATAAAAAGGAGGTTGAATATTTGCAGGGTAGGTTTTTAGAAATATTTGAAAGAGAAGCAAATGAATAATACCAATAATTCACTTGCATTGGAAATTATATTTTTTATCCTGTATTTATGGAATTTTTTCTCAGCCTTTCTCTGAAACTCTTCCCATCCTAAGCATGTTCTATTTTTGATATTCAAAAATATTCAAAAATATTAAATATTAAAATAATAACATTAAATTAAAAATATTTCAAAATCAGCATAAACAAAATGAGACTCACAAAGTACATTTTCACTATTAAGATGGTTTCTACACACTTTGTAGATAGGATAAAATCACCCTTTGTAATGCAGAGTGTAGTTCTTCCTTTTAAATAAAACTTGACACTCATATTAAGCAATACTCACTGTTGCTCTCAGGAATTTGTGTGCACAATATGTCTTCATACTTGAGTAAACTGAAGCCTTGATAATCTGATTTCCTGGAAGAAGTTATTTTTGTTGCTATTCTAAAACATTTCAAATAAGTAATAACATTATCTCCATAATATTAACTCAACTACACCAATCCATATTATAAGAGGGCAGCAAGAATCCATTTTTATTTTACGTTTAATAATGTGTTAGTAAAGGTTTATCAACCAGCTTTCTAAGAGAACAAAACCTTTGATTTATAGTATTTTCTTTATTGGATGGTATAAACTTTCTCATCATGGTCAATTTTAAGTTACTGAAATGCTGTCACTGAACAGAGTTGCATGTTAGACATACAAAACAGGCTCACCTGAGCCAGTATATTAATACCACAGTAAGCAACTAAAAATGGTTTAAAACCATTAAAAATATTTTAATGCAGTTATATCTTCTTCATTAACAAAGGAAAGTTATGTATTGAAATTCTCTAACATCACAGACAAGAATGAATTCTGTTCTCACCTAAGAGCCGTGTCCCACACTCCCTATATGTGCTTTAAAACAGAGGTTAACAAATGGATACATGAGCCAAATCTGATCTAAAACTTGTTTCAGTATCAACCTGTATCAACCTGCATGATTGTTTTTTTCATATTTTAAGTCATAGAAAAAAATAAAAGGAATAATAATATTTTTGGTTGATGAAAATTATAAGTTCAAATTTGAATGCATGTAAATAAAACAACCACCACTCTATGTTTACATGTTGTCTGTGGACAGTTACACACTATAATATCTAGAAGTTGCCACAGAAAGATGATATGATCCTTCAGGCCTACAACATTTGCTTTCTTGGTCTCTAAAGAAAGAGTCTACCAATGCCTGCTCTACTATATTATGTACTCTATCATTTAAAAATATGTTCATGAGTATTCATATATCATTGATGTATTTTAAACTATAAATGTATTTTATATCAAAAACAGAATATTTTAAGAGTTTAATTCTCTATCCATATGGAAACCTCATACAACCAGATTGCTCAATTCTGAATCCTGAGTATTATGGCAGTGATACCAAATATTTTATTAACAATTTCTCTCTCTTTTTCTGTGTGTGTGTGTGTGTGTATACACACACATAATTTTTATAGGAATGCTCTAAAATTCCATTATGTCAACCTGAGTTTTATTCAATAGGCAGTTGAGATCGATATTTAAATACAGAATGAATTATTTAGTAGATCTCAAACTTTTTGGCTTCATGATCCTTTCATAGCCCTAAAAAATTATTGAGCAATCTAATAAGTTTTGTGTATGGGATTTGTTGGATGGATATATGGATAGCACACACACATATTTATATTTACATGTATCATAACAAAAATTAAAGCTCAGAGATATTTAAACATGTATCTATTAATAAAATTAAAATAACAATATTAAGTTCAATATTTGTTGACATATTTAATACAAAAGGTTGATTTTTGCACGTTTCCTTGATAATTTGCTGGTGATAGTGATAGATGAATTCTCATAGCTACTTCTGAATGCAATCATTGCAATCTGAAGTTTGTAGCCTAATGTAAGTTTATTGTTGGAGAGGTGAGTATTATAATAGTTTTTCAGATAAATGTGAATAATATTATTTGATACTATACTGAAATTCAACAGGTATAAGTTGTGGTA